GTCTTTTCAGGGGGAAGGGGGTGGCAGGAGTAGAACCGGCTGGGAAGAGCTGCTTGCTGATTTTCAACTTAGTGTTGAAAGTTACTTTTGTATACTGGATGGTTCCTTGGGGGGTGAGTGAGACGGCAGGGGTAGATTGAGTCTTTTCAGGGAGGAAGGGGGTGGCAGCAGTGGAACTGGCTGGGAAGAGCTGCTTGCTGATTTTCTACTTGGGTGTTGAAGTGACTTTTGCACACTGGGTTGTTTTTTGCAGCGTGTTGGTACGGCACTGTAAGAACTGTATCAGTGGTGTTGTAAAATGTATACTCAGTGGAGGAAACAAACACTGCCACCTGTTTCTTTGGTAGATGTTCTGATACCACCAATAGGACAGGACAGCCTGTACGAAGGACCTCCTATGTGACTGGAAGACCGCAAATTTGAAGTGATGAATGATGGGCAGCCCGAGAAGGTAAGTGTCTTTGAAGTAATATTTCTTGCAATTCTACCCACTGACTTAATAAGAATTTATGTAACATTATTTATATAACAATTTTAAAAATATTATTTGGTGCGTGAGAAACGTTCATTTTTTTTCTTTCATCAAAACGATCCTGGAGGGCCCATTAGACCGAGGACACGACAAATGGACCGTTTCTATCGAGAATGCCAAGAAACGAGAAGGGATGAATAATGATCAACATTAGAAGGTATTTGTCATTGTATGTCTAGCAACACTATTCACTGAGGCTTAAGTTCCATTTTATAAGGACATTATTCAACTCATAATGTCTATAACATTAGAATATCCATTGATGAGTCAGGTTTCACCGTGAAATCTCGGGTATCTACACTCTAAGGCATCTGAATTGTGTTGATCAGGGTGTAAAAAACTCCCACACTAAAAAAAACAACAAACTTTTAAGTTGAACACTTTTCATAAGCATTAATTTATCGAATTGAGCAATAAGGACATTTCAAATTTCTGGATTTTCTTTGTTTTTTGTTGTATAGGGTTTTACGGCGCTCGCAACTGCATAAGGTCATATGAGCGCGGGGGACACACCTAATACTTTTTCGTTGGTAGGAAATTTTGAATTTTTCCCGGATGGCGGCCGAAGCCTACTCTTATCGATTTTAGACCACCAAGGGATCTTTAACGTGCGCAACTTGCACACGGGCCCTCCGAGATTTTTCGCCCTTGTCCGAGAAGGCTAGGTGTAGATCATTCCTACCGGAAGATCAGGGGGGTGGCAGAAAGACAGCAGTTAGGAGGAGCCAAGGAGTAGCAGTAGAAAGGCTGCAGAAAAAGTCAGGAGCCCAGAGGAGGGGGCAAAGGAGGTGAGGGGGTGGGGCAGAAAGTGGAAATGAAAGGAGACAATTTTAGAGAAGAAAATTTTTTGGGTCGCTACCCGGAATCGAACCCGGGACCTTTGAACGAGAGGCCCCCGGATTTTCTTTATTGACGGCAGAATATAGAATGTTTTTATACTATGATACTAAATAAAACACGAGATGTTGGATTTTCTTGGACACACGACAGTGCCGTAAAACACATACTCAACCATTCAATCAATCTTTGACATATTGTACTCAATCAATTATTCTTTGACACAGTTTTCATCTCCAGGACTGCCTGTAGCACCGGTTGATCGCCTACAAGACCAGAAGATGGTCCATATCCACTGTATCGAGAAACCAGAAGTGTAGGATGATCAGCCCTAGAAGGTAGTTGTCTTTGAAAGATGCCTTGGCCTATTTAGACGTTGAAAACCCCCCAATTAGAACACCCAAAGCTAGGTAAACTTGAAAGTTTTATTTTTACATTCATGTTTCTCTCAACCCTGGACCTGTCCAATGGCTCCTGCAAAAAGACAAATGTTGCTTGTAACGGATGTCATTCAAAGGGAAATAATTGAAGATGTTTGCTTCAGTGTCATTTCAAGATTGATTAAAAGATAGACTCAATGTAAGGTTTATACATTTCCTTGAAGAACAAAACTTTCTGTCTGTGTCACATGCAGCATGTTTTACTTATTTAAATAATCACGTATCAAATAATTTAGATGCTCCAACATGAATGTGCTTTAACTCAAAATTTAGTAATTCAAACTGATTTAACATTGAAATTGTTTTTCAGTTTACTGTCATTCATCGGACTTTTCGCAAGAAGGTGCTGGTGTTATCAGTAAGTCTACCACAGCAGGTAGAAGGT